GAAGACGAAACATAGCATGGAGGCATGGTTATATGAGGAGGACGAAACATCTTACGAGCAGCAAGAGACCAAGAAGTGGTCCATGAACTGGCACATGCAAGTTCTATCCAAACTCAAGGTTTTTGTGTGGCGGCTAGTTCGTCAATCCATGCCGACGGGTTCGATTCTCAAACACCGTCACATGGCAACAGAGGATACTTGCTTGATATGTGGGGTTGTTGACACTTGGAAACATGCTCTTATTTCATGTCCGATGGCGGCGAGTGTATGGGCGTTGGCCCCGGAGGAGTTGGTGCAGCATATGGTGGATCGCGAGGAAGAGGGCCCGAAGGAGTGGTTGTTCTAAATGCATGAAATGTTGACGAAAGAGCTTTTTGATCGACTAGTGGTGACGCTTTGGGCACCATGGGTTGCCAGAAGGAAGGCAATTCACGAGAACATATTTCAGCCACCTTATTCTGTCAATAGCTTTATAACTAAATATTTGGGCAAGCTACAAGTGATCAATGCAAGGCAAACATTGATGGACACTCCAACTAGTGCTAGACCGAAGAGATGGCTAGCCCCACCCTCAGGTGATGCGAAGTTCAACGTTGACGCGGCGGTAACCAGCTATGGTGAAGCAGTCGGGGTCATTTGCAGAGATGACATAGGTATGTTCATGGGAGCATCTACCCTTTCCTTCACATACATTGTGGATCCCCCGACTTTGGAAGCTCTCGCCATTAGAGAAGCGCTCGCCTTGGCGGATGACCTCTATTTGAGACGCATTCAAGTCGCGTCGAACTGCAAAACGGTGGTTCAGGACTTACATAAGGAGAATTTGGCGAGCTATGGAGCAGTTATTCATGAAATAGTAGAACATTCCCTAGCTTTTGATTTTTGTAATTTCAGTCATGAGTTTAGGAGCTCAAACTTTGAATCTCACAACTTAGCGAAGCATGCATTATCACTCGGTGGTGGCCGCCATGTTTGGTTAGGACATCACGGGAACTTACCATCCGTCCCTGTAAACATTGTGACGAATTAATAAAAGCTTCGCGACGTTACCTCAAAAAAAGAGGAAAGTGTGGATTAGGATTCCCACTTCCTTCCCTCTCCCCCTCTTTCCTCCCCCTTGGGGAATCATGGCAGGGGCGCAGGGCAAGGCAGGGCCCCCTAGGGGCCGGCGGCCAGCCCTAGGGCGCGCCCTGGCCTCCCCCTCCCCCTCCCCCTCCCACCTATATATATGTGGGAGGGGGGCACCTAGCACACACCAGGTCAATTGTTAGCCGTGTGCGGCGCCCCCTCCACCATTTACACCCCCGGTCATTTTTTCGTAGTGCTTAGGCAAAGCCCTACGGGGATCACTTCACCATCACCGTCACCATCCGTCGTGCTGACGGAACTCGTCTACTACCTCGACGTCTTGTTGGATCAAGAAGGCTAGGGACGTCATCAAGCTGAACGTGTGCAGAACACGGAGGTGTCGTGCGTTCAGTACTTGATCGGTTGACACGCGAATAAGTTCGACTACATCAACTGTGTTGTGAAACTCTTCCGCTTACGGTCTACGAGGGTACGTAGAGACACTCTCCCCTCGTTGCTATGCATCTCCATGGATAGATCATTGCGTGTGTGTAGAATTTTTTTTGTTTTTCATGCAACGATTCCCAACAGAATGCATGACACATCACCCACAGGGACACACCTCTGCAAGGCACGCAAGTCGGACTCCCAACAGAGGCCAAGACGTTGACAAACACACCCACCTGGCCCGTCCCGTGCGGTACAGTGTGTGAGAGGGCACACACGGGCACGAGGAAACCCACCACAGAGAGGTGGCCCAGGTCGCACCTGCGACCACACGTCATGACACCCCAAGAAAGACGTTCGGGTGCGAGGCGACCAGGCCGATTGGGATGGTGGATGGCTTGAAGCGCATGACCGCATGGACATTTGCGGCGAGATTCGGCTGGACATACTGCCACACTCAACCGGATGGCCTCAGACAACCACTGTGGTGGAGCCTCGTCCTCGCGACGTCGGCTCCATTCTGAGGTGAATGCTGCTAGATGGCAAGTCCACGTGCCCCCATGCGCCGAATCACACGTCGAGGACTGGTGTGCCCGATGTGCAAGGGATAGGGTAAGGGCGGTCGGGCGAGTCACATGCCGCATCAACCGAGGATGTACTCCATGCCTGCATCCTCGCAAAGTGACATGCCCAGATGACACGTGCCCTTAGAAAAGGAGCAAACCCGGGCGGTCTGGCCCTTGCTAGACTAGCCCCCAAAGAGCAGGAGGAGTAGGCTGGTGACGGATTGGACAACTCCTGTAGTGAGCAGATCCATCTTGATCCATATTAGACCGTTATTTTCGCGACAAAGACGGCAATGACAACGACAGTGGCAAGGGCAATCGTGGGTGAACTTTCTTCATAACTTAGTATTTAGAACAATTGGTAGTCCAGTGACATCTACATGAACTCCTCTATGCTATGTGTGTGATGATTTAGACGAACTACGCATGTTATTTTTAAGGTTGCATGGCATTGTATGGACAGGAGGATTTGCTACGAAGGACATGGTTATGGACGCAGACATTTGAGGAGTGACCGATCACTGTCCACAGAAACGTTCGGGCTCGTGCACGGACGTATAGGGGGCTGTTTTTTTACATGGTAAAAGGTGTCTCATGTATATCATGAAGATCATAGTACAAGCCACATAGACATCAAACTGAAAAAACAGAAAAGACATCAGAACACTGGCCTTTGCACAAAGGAATACAAGCCATGAAGGAAAATTACAATCAAGACCAAAGAATCCCATGAGCTTGATACCAATTCCCGTCACCTGCCTTCGGTGCCACCACAATAGTCACCATGAAAAAAATGACGGGTCAACTCCTCACCTGAGCTCGACGTGTCTTCATCGCTGATATGCAGTTTTTTGGACCTCCAAGGTGGCCTGCCAAAGGTGAAGCCACTGTCGTTGAACGAATCAGACTAGGGCAACACCCTAGACATGTCATTGAACTTCAGATCTGACACCCCCGCACGACTAAGACGTCGAGAAGGAAACCATACCCGTCAGTCACGAACCACAAAAGCTAGCACACGATCCACCATCTTCCGGATGCAGCCGATGGAGAGCACAATCTGCATTCACTCTTGTACTTCCTCCCAAGCTCCTCTCTGGCGTTGGAGCAAACGTCGTTGCAATGACACAACCCGAGGACACAAGTCCACCATGAGGATGTTGCCGCCACCACGACATCCTTGCTTGAACAGACTGTTTCCAAATCCATCCCACCCATAGGGCCGATCACCTCATCATGGAAGAATCTTAAGCTTATTTATTCAGCGCTGTCATCGTCGCCTCCGAAACCCAGACGGTGAATGACCCAAGAACCTAAGCCACTAGGGACTAAAACCTAAAGCTACATGATCCACACGTGTGGATCCGGCAACCCTCCCCCCTCACCACCGACCATCAAAGTCTCAGCGGAGGGGAGTCGCTGGAGGACGGCGGAGGAAGGAAGTCTCCTAACGGCTGGCGACTTTCTTCGTGGGGAAGAAAGAAAACACTCGAGGGAATCAAATTGGTAAAACGGATTCTCAGAACATGGGACAACAGAGCACTTTATTTTGACCCCCCAAACAAGTGCTTAAAAGATTTGATTTTTTTATTTTTTACATGAATAAGCATGCATGTGGTCTAGGTACGTGTGAAATTTCGTCCTAAAATATGTTGTATTGTACGCCGCACAAAAAAGACAAAAATTTGAACAAAAATCGAAGAAAACTGCCCCCAAATTTGCATGTATTTTGTCGTTTTTGACTTTTTGTATCTCTCACATGCAAGCACGTATATTGGGGTGAATTTTGGGCTATACTGCACCGCTATACATGCATGCACATTTTTTTTTGAAATTTTCAAGCCGTACAAATTCGGTTTTTTTTGAACTTCAAAATAACGGGCACAAAGTGCCCGTGTTCAGATGTCAATTTTCGGTCAAATTTGCCCAATCCGATTGTAGATGCTTCGATGGGAGAGTTAAAGCATAATTGGTTTGATGTTAAATTTTGGTAAGTGCCAAATGTTGATTAGAGATTGGTTGTTTGCCAATTTTTATTGTCAATCTCACAAAAAGTTGCCAAATGTTGGCAATTTCTGATTTTGCCAAATGTTGGCTTGCCAAATATTGGCAATGCCAAATGTTGGTAGCAAACCAATTATGCTCTTACTAGGTAAATGCCCATGCATTGCACAGGGGCATACATACTGTTGGCTCAACACTAATTATAGCTAACATATACATATAGAATCCTCATGCACATCAGATGACATTGTCGTATTTTTTACCGCTAGCATTAGATAATACAGTCGGCCTTTCTACTGCTAAATTAAGTTTCTTCTTCCTCCTCCTTCTTCCACCTCCTTGACCTACAAATCTAAGCGTACAACCATTGTCAATGGTGTAGCCAGCTCGCAATCCCCCTTTCAACCCCACCGTATAATTTTTTATATTTCACATTGTTCGCATCTTAGTAAGTCTCTCTCCCTCTAATAAAAGTGCAAGTGTAACCATAGGAAGGAATTTCCGTGCTCATCCTTGTTGTGCTCATCCTTGTTAGCAGGTAAATACTTAAAAATCAAGAAGGCTAAAGTGGTTTAATACTTACCTCCGACCCAAAAAAATAGTTGCGGTTTTGAACTAAGGTTCCCTCGGATCCATAATAAGTGTCGCATTTTGAACTTAATATTAGTTCAACCTTAGTTCAAAACTGCAACACTTATTTTGGATTGGAGGGAGTAGAAAATAGCACATGTGCAAGAAAAAATAAATAAATCTTGTAGTACAGTCTATCAGAACACAACATATACACACATGTACACCATGATCGTCACTAAAAACAGGCCACTCTGGCTGGCAAAGAAGTGACAGCAAAGCTAACGACGACACACTTGTCGTCATCAGGTTTCGCTTTCTATACTTGACATGTAGACCTCAAAGTCATTCACTTATCCTCAAGATATGATCTCTTGCGATCGTCATCTGCGCATCTAGAGTAGCTATTTTGCTGATAAGAGAGCCCCTGTGATCTAGGGTTGGACGCAAGAAGACATCCTCCTCTGTCACGATATCTTTTTCTCCGTCATCATTCACTAGAGCTTGACTGAAAGACTACAGTGCAGCAATGAGCTGTGTCCATTGTACCATCATCTTCAGTTTCTGATTCATCCTGTGACAAAGAGGGATTTCAGTGCGAGCAAGGAATTGAAGTGTATGTATAGACAAAAAAACTGAGCAAGGCTACAGATTCTGATGATACAACATCAATTTACTTAAGCTCTTATACGGGCAGTGAAGGTCAAGGTGAACCTAAGGAAATATCATGGTCAGCAAAAATAAGATGGAAGAAGACGATCAAATTAAAATCATGTAACTAAATACATAGAAGAATTTTCTTATAAATAAATCAGGCAACCAATATTTTGTCTGATATTGAAAGAGCTTTGTTTGATTGACTCTTCTATATTATACGATGCTCTATGGCAACAAATAAATGAGAACCAAAAGAGTATTATTAAAATTGCATGCATGCCTTATATATAGCAAGGGTCATTCTTGAGAAAATTTGTGGCTCATGCCTCATGACATTTAGAAGAAAATTTTGGATAATATGTGGGTGCTAGCACTTTGCATAAGGTACAAACCTTACAGGTTCACTCAAGCAAATACCGCAAATCATATAATCGCACAACAATGGTTCACATAATTACAGAAAAAATTAAGAGAGAGAAGCAGCAACAGGTTGGAGTTCAGAGAATAACTTAAGCAACGGGGTTGAGAAGAGCTTCAGAAGAAGTGGAGCAGCAGCGCTAGGAGAGATGGGACAGCCGCAAGCAGCAAGGAGCAGAGAGGAGAGGCAGCAGCGCCAAGGCAAGACTACTACAGAACCTACGACTAAGTCAAACTATACATTTTTATGATTGATGGACATACTCACGACTTGAATCCTTCATTTTTCAAATTTGAGTATTGGCGCATATCCACTATATGGATTAGTCATATTATTATTAGGCTGCGTCAGTATATTAGTAAATTTGTCACATATACACAGTTTGTTGAACCAATTCCAATAATAATCAATAGACGCATATCTCTGAAAAAAAGGAACACACATGCATACAGTGGAAGTGTCTCGAGGGCCAAACTATTCTGTAAACTATCATAGCAGAAATCACCAAATTTGTTTCAGAGGTAGAGGGTAGAACAATTAGAAAGTCAACAAAGTGCTAGATGAATCTGATTGGAGAACAAAAGACAACATAATATCTTGTGCATAATTTATCAATTATATGTCCAATTAGTACTGTCCAGTTAAAGGTCGAAGCTAGAATCATAGATCTTACAATTGTACTTCCGAAAAGAACCATCCAATGTCAGAGTTTTATCATTGCTAAACGTCCAGATCTCATATCATACAGTGATAATTCTTCTAGATTAGGATTATACCAAATTAGTGAATGAATAAAATAACTACAATTTGGAGCTTCAAGTAAATCAAACAGTTAACTTAATTCTCTAGTTGACGACTATGTTGGTACCTGAAGAATCATTCTGTCCGTGCCATTACCCATTAGTTCAGCACCTTTGTGACGCCCGGATAATTAAGCTACAGTAACCTCTGATAAATATGCCACGTCACCTCCGTCACTGTTTAATCTCGCGTCGGTTCAAAACTTTTCAAATTCAAAATTTAAATATTGTCAAACATCAACAGTTTTCAAACATCGAAACAAAAATGTTCGGGTTGTGCCGAATATCACAGAGGTAATTATAGTAAAGAAAACACAAATTTATCAAATACTTAAATGCCCTAAATTGAATTAAAACAGTTAAAGAAAATAAATTAAAGAAAAGAAATAAAAACA